TACATACCAAATTGATTATTGTATATTGGTTTTTTATAATTAATGATATTGTTATCTTGTATTATTGAACTATCTATATCTAAAGGATCAAATTCTTTAGTGTTCTTACACTCATTGTTAGTTTTACTATTTGAACACTGAAATCTTAATATTTTAGCATTGTGCTTTAACGCAATTTTTGTCAAATGTGGATTTATGTTTTCATCATTTTCTTCATCTAAAAATAATTAAGATTAAATTTTACTGAGTTTTAATTATAAACTACATAAAAAATATAATCTTTGTAGCCTTGGTAACATATTTAGTAAATATTTATTAGATCACATACCTAACTGCCCATACATCGGCTTTTTAATATTAGTATCAGGGGTACTTTGTACTGATTCAGTTATTTCTGAATGATTAGACATAACTTTATAACTTTATTATATAGTTTCATTATTTGTATACTGAATATTCGACAATTTGTTAATATCCTTTATTATAATCTTTGGTGAACTAGTATCTATATTTTTTTTTATTTCTAAAAGGGTATGTCTTTCATCTGAAAATAATTAAAATTAATATTATATTTTTTCGTAACCAATTTAATGCGATTATAACTTGTATATTTTATTTTTACTTGTATTTGTTGTAACTTTCTATAATTATCCAAAGATTAAATATAATATTCTACTTACCCGACTTACAAAGGAATATTCCAACGCAACGTTTTGTTTTTTCTAGTTTTATCCAATAATCTTTCTTTCTTTTACGAGTTACATTACTAGATTTCACAACGATTAATTGTTTAGTATGTTTAATTTTAAGTAAGGAAAACATGATATATAAAAGCTAAAAATATGGAAAACGATGTACAGTATTTTCACCAAAACTACTGGTTACCGCGCAATTCAAGACTACATAACCTGAAATATACCTACAGCACGTGTCGTTTTCGATAACAAATGTATTACTGCGTTCAGTAGAGAAACCGCTCAGTAGCAATTGAACGTGATTGGCTCTTACTTTTAGAGCCAACAAATCAACGTCGAATGTTGACAAGAGGATAATTGAGCAATTTCTCTACTGAACGCAACCAAAGTTTCTATAATAAGACTTAAGCTACAGTATATTTTAGGAAATTAAGATTAATTCACATTATACATAAGATTATACAATATTTGTCTACAGATTTTAAATAAAGCAAATAATGTGAATTGATACATAATATACTTGAAATTCTTAGAAGAATATTTGATAGTGCGTTAATGTATGTAATGACGGTGAGATGACAATGGGCGCGTTCCACTTAACGACCGCAACGCTCGCGAGCATCATCTGTCTTCGTTTAACTTTCGGTGAACAACAAAGATGAAATGATACCGTGAGCGTTGCGGTCGTGAAGTGGAACGCGCCCAATGAGTATAGTGTGTTATGTACAGTATAAATTGGTTTTTACATTGAAATATATTTAAGACCGTATTACGATTTACGGACTTGGTAGTGGTTATGGTTACGATTGAGTATTGAGAATCCACAAATCACATCCTAACCAATCCACGCAACCCGGTCGGCGAATTGTTTCGCGCTGATTGGTTGATTAAGGGAATCTTAACTCTTATTATAGAAACTTTACAGTTAACGGCGGACAATCTCTTAGCTTTAATGTAAGCCAATTAAAAATTAAAATGGTCACAAAAGAAGATCCTTCGAAGATTAGAGTGTTTGAAAAAAATTCTATATATTTTATGTTTGTCCTGGAATATACCATTATACATAGAATTTTTCCAGGGCAGTCCTGGAAATTACCATTGCCCTGGAAGCTGCCATTATGCAAGTGTCTTGGAAAACTTTAAAAACGTGATATCTTAAGATCGGAAAGAAATATTTAATTCTTTAAGATCAAAATGAGTTTGAATTTTAATGCTTTATCAGAATATAGAAAAAAAATATGAGATTTCTAAATGTCCCGGAACAGACCCTTTGACATATATATATATATATATATAGTATTTATTATTCTCAAAGTGTATCTTATTAGAAAAAAATTTTAATCGCTTTAATTTAGTAATCCGTTTGTCAGCATACATAGTATATATATTTTGACTTTCTTTGCATACATATAACTGATACATTATTTTATAAAACAAAAAACTTATGAATATATATCGCAATATCAAAACATGTTATTATAATAATAGTTATATGTATGCAAAGAAAGCCAAAGTATATAT